ACCATCATGGAGTAACACAAATGAGCTTCAGGATCATGCAATCATAACAGCGGCCTCTTCAGCACCAATATCGCTAGCATCAATATGATCAATATGATCTGTGATCAATATATTTACCCCCTTCCAGACATCTGGTGGTATCAAAGGAAACCGTTTGGAGATGACTGGCCAATGCTGGTATATGCTGCCGATGTTCATTAAGACTCCTACCACTGACCCCACATCATAGGCAGTGTTGATTGGATTTCTGCCGAAGTTGGGCAAGCTGAAGTGTGACTAACTAGAGGCATAAGATCTTCAGTGATGAATTCCGATTCAGTCTCAGTGCTGATGACTGACACACATATGCAGACGGCTAGGCCAACGGTCCAATCTGGCATTTGTTGTTGAGCGACATATGGTGATTACACAAGGTGTGACAATGTGGGGAGTGATTTTTTGGGACACATGGTCACCTCTAGTCATCCTTCAAGGCACTGTGACTGCTTGCAATTACTTGGACGACATTTTTAATGCCAGTTGTACTGCCTATGCTATCAAGTCACCCAGGTACCATTTATCAGCATGACAATACTTGTCCACATACTCTCCCAACAGTGTCTTCAAGGATATGACGTACTCCCATTGCCTGCCAAGTCATGAGACCTCTCACCAATAGAGAACATTTGGGATATTCTTGGAAGGCAACTGCCATCCCAGAATATTTGTGAATTAACTGCCCAGTTGTAAAGATTATGCCATGATCTTCCACAAGGGTTCATAGGCGAGTTATTTGATTCAATGCCATGCTCTGTTTCGGCTTGTACAGCTGCAGAGATGGCTATATTACTTACACTGATTTGTAACCTTTTTCATGCCATACTCTCTTAAATGATCTTTTATTCTGAATTTGTAATAATTTGTTAATCGCTTCATACACTATGGGCCATTCACACTGAGGTTTATCTGAGCTAACGGAGTCAGTTCCATATGTTGACCAGCTCCACTATGCGTGCAGCTCAGATTTTTCAACGCACTGTGCTGCGAGGAAAAACTGGTTTTAGAGAAGGGTCGACCATGTCAGATGTCTTCGTTAGCTTAGATAAACCGCGGTGAGAATGGGCTTATAGGTTTCGTGATGGCAGTCGTTTCCTTCTAAGTGTGACAGAATGTATATATACAGGATGAATTTGAACAAGTGGGCCAGACTTTAGGGGGTGATATGAGCAATATTCATCATAAAATGTATGGTCGGAACACAAACGGCGAGCTGCTAGGTGGCATTGCAAATGGTATAAAAGGATCGGTTCTTTCACTTGAAGGCATTTTATACTGTGGATTGCCAAAAGAATGGCTGGTTATACGAACCACGAAATTTCCAGGGCAATGGCTTGGTGGAAATGATTCCATAGCTTGCCCACCAAGATCACTGGATCTCTCATGTTTGGACATTTTCTTCTGGAGCTACATGGAAAGCCTATCTATTGAGTGCCCCAATGAAACCAATATGGATCTAGTCCCCAGGATCGTCGTTGTTGCCAAAAATATTCGGGAAATACCTGGTGTCTTTGCAAATGTGCGTCAATCCCTACCCTGCATTACAGCTGACGGAAGGTCTTTTGAGCATGTACGTCAGTTACATTTTGGTTAATAAAATGTTTTCTGAAATACCTCCTCTTATTCTTGTGTTATTTCTTTAAATGTGACAGTGGAAAACTACCCTTTAACTTCTCACTACTTGCATTCCGACCATACATTCTATGCCAAATATTGCTCATACAGTTGCCTTCTATCACACCCTTAAGTTTTGCTCACTTATTCAGATTCACTCTGTATATATATGTTTGGTACTGCCGATAACAATAAAAAGGGATATAAATGTTATAGCAGTCCCTTATAGAAAATTTCAACTCTACAGCTAATTGTTTTTGACATATGCAAGATATATGCATATGTACAAATGTGAGGAAAAAAATCAATTTTGGAATCCATTTAATAACCCATTTTGGAGAAACAGTCTGTGTTAAAATATGATATCTAAAATTTTCGCGATTACAATACTTCCTTTATTGTATACAAGGAAGTAAAAAGATTTATCATTAAACACAAGACTGATAAGATAGCTTTTGCAGTCTTTTCCCAATGAACATAATCTAGTAATTTATTGATTTGGGAAGCAGTATGTAAAATTTGTAGGTCTGAAAATTCTCTGCTGTGGATAGTGGCAAGGAAAGATGAATCAGACTTCACAATACCTTTTCTTGAGGTGTCTCATTCCAAACAAGGTTCAGGCTAAGAAAAAACATCCCAGTATCACTACTGGTGTTTACGATCTTTGATCAATAATGCATGCATTCATTACTTCTACACTATTCTTCGTATATGGGCAACAGATTCAAACTAGCAAATTTATCACATATGTGTATGAATATAATCATATATCATAAATCTTTCTCGATGTTAATTTTTGGAGCAAATATCAGGAAACGTTTTTATGGGTCTGAGTATTTGTGAGCTTTTCCAAATTTTTGCACAGTTATGTGTATTTACAAACTTGAGAGAAACTTTTTTCTCATTTCTAGGACATTCTGTTTGGTTGCCAGGCTTCAGATTTTACACTAGACAGTTATCTGAATTCCTGGCTGCACTTGGATTCACTGATATTTGGATTTAATGAAATTACAATTAAATGAATTTGGAAAATTGCTGAATAATGTAAGATATGTATGGAGTATGGAGGTCATAAAACCTGAGTATAAAATCTTAGAAATTAATTTTCCAATTAAAGTCTTATTTCAAAGATTAATTTCAAGTTTGCTTTCCTTACTTTACTGCCAAGTTTCCCGAAAATAAAATTATTGATAAAAAAGTATTGTCAATTAATCAGAATTAAAGTATGAAAATACAGATGTACATGCAAGTGTTAAAAAGATATAAATAACAAGATATAGAAGCATGTGCTTAATTTTCTTTTTATTCAAGAAATATAGTAACTGAAGTTATTTTTAAAAAAATCACCATTTTGAAATCAAAATCTCCAAAACCGAGATATACCTTATAAGGCAAAATTTTATCATTAAATGTAAACCCAATTTTCAAGATATTGCCAAAATTTTTTAAAAAATGGCACTCACAAATACATATGCTGCAATAAGAAGTTTAAACAGATGCACTATGGGATTGCAAAATTGCAAATGAAAAACAAACAAGAGGACATTACAATGCTCTCACGCCAGTTCTTTCTAACCATGAAGTACACATTAAATAAAAATATTTGGTACTTTTCCGTTTCGCCGGCGCAAACCTTGCCAAGTAGACTTTATTGGCGAAAACACAGAGTATACACATAAAAAGTGTTGACAAACGTTAGTTTTAAGAATTTTTTATTTTGTAGGTATAAATATTTTAATATAGTTTAAAATTTTGTAAAAAAAAGCCAATAAATTGGTAAAAACACATTAATTTAAGAATTTACGACGCTTTCATCGTGACAACATCCTGATTCGTCGGTTCATATCACGTGACCCCAAGCGATCTCATCTCACGTAAACTACGCACAAAAATCTAATTCTCTCAGTAATTATCTACATTAATTTCAAGTTTAAATCTTAATTTGGAATACAAGTTTAAATGCAAGAATTATTTCAATTCGTACGAATAGCTTACTCAGAAATTATGTAAAACCGCAGTGCTTTACTTCGCTAGTGCATTCTCATTAGAATTGATGACCCTTGGCTTTGCCCTTTTCTATATTTTCGCCTTCGGGTAAGGGGTGTGATTGCATCCTAATCAACTTAATTACCGCGAATGGCGTTAGGGCATAAACTGAACTATCTGGTACAAATTCTATATAATTGTATGCTAGCATTGAAAGAAACAATCAATCTGATAAGAAATAGCTGGGACTTGTTTTGAAAATAAGGCGTGAAAGGTTACCACCGAGGATATTACGTTTGGCATGAGTTGTACCATTATTGGCGACTTTATCGCCTGCGCCGGCAAAACGGAAAAGTACCAAATATTTGATAGTTAATAAAAAATTTTCATTAAAAAAGGGTCTTCATTGTTTTAAAAAAAGTCTTTCAAATTATATAACTTGTAAAACTGAATTACCTCTTCAAACGAGTTTGCCCTCATTTCTCTGGTATCTCAAATATTTAATTTCCAAATATGAACATTAAAGAATAGTTGTATGCCCAGTCAAGAGTTTTAAACTTCATAAACGTCACTTTCAGTATCAGTTATAAATGATAAATATTCTTAGTTTTAACTTCCCAACAATACTCCCCAATTTTATAACATATCTTTAATTCAAACCGCATTGCATATAACTGAGTCTGAACAATTGCTGACACATATCTGGTAACATACATGAAATAATATCCGCATGTCTGATGCTTGCAAACTAAAACCTAGATCCAACTGACATTTGTAATATGAAACATTTTTTGCACATGCTGTATCAATATAAAGCCCAGCATTTCAGATAAACTATTAAAATGTTTTTTCATGTACAATTAACAGCAAAATCTGAAAATATAAGATCATCTGAAAAATTCTTTAATTTTCCAGATTCACAGCATTGTTTTATTACTGCTAAGGAGTGACCTACATTGAAGTGGATATTTAACCCTTTTCCGACGGGTATCCCACCCACACATGATTGGATGGGCGATACAAATATGCATTTTAAGCAGAAACATTTTTAAAAGACCACTAGCATCGTGTCCATTACTTTTGAATTTAATGCAGTTTTAGGATCCTGACCTTTACTTTGATCACCTTCTGTGTAACATTGGTGTCAGCAGTTGCGGGGGAAGCATAACGTAAACAAACAGAGCTCTGGCTTTTCAACTCGCCATGTGATAAACATTTGTGCTTTCGATATCTCTTCGAATCCTTTTTTTTTTTTTTGCTATTATGTGAGGTTCTATTACTCTTTGCATTGCTTTTATCACTTTGCATACTTCCCGTTTTTATTTCGGGAAGCCTTGACTTCAGTTTATTATGCCTAAGCATTATTTATCAAAGGAAAGATATACTTGCATGGTAAAAGAACCAATTAGTGACATGGATTAGAATGATGATTCATTTCCTAAAGAGTTAGAGAGTGAATGTGAATTTTTCAAACGATTCTCGTACAGACATTTTGTCAGAGACTGAACTCACTGGATGTCTGTTTTCCGTTTCCCATAAAAGTTTCTGTTACTTCTGGTAAACATTCTTTCTTGATTTTTTTTATTAAAGTTTATTAATGTATTTTGTCAATTAAAATTTTGGAATAATTTGAATGGCACTCCTGAAAATTATTTCTCAAGGTAAGCAATTTTTTTATATATTTTCATGTACAGGAAAAGATCATTAAATGCTAATTTTAATATACATTATAGCTTAAGTAATAATCTAAAACGTACCAAAAATTATGGCATTAGGTCTTGAACCTTTTTCTTTTTTGTTATTTGTTTTCTAAAGTTCGGCTTAGCAAAGCAAAATCCCCATGTTATGGGACGATTCCTCTCAATTCCCATTCATCCCAAGGGAGCATCTTAAACAACAGTGTGCCATTTTGAAAGGGTTAAATAAAATTTATTCTGCTCGCACTGTGTAATTCTAGCATGTTTTGTGACTTTTTTTTTTAGAGCATTGCAAAGAATGTACATTTCAAACGTTCATTTTCATCATATTATGATGTTCTTTTATTTTAAAAAAGGAAAAAATGTTAGCTAGATTACTCATAAAATTTGGGCTGTATATGGAGAAAGTGATGTTTCTGAAGAGGTTTATGTCTTATAGCACTAATTTAAATAATACATAATTAAAAAAATATGGATAATTTTTGCATGGAAACTGAAAAATAAAGTGTTAGTTAAGGAGCTAAACAAATCTTTATGAGCAGAATCAAAAAGACACTACCATTCACAGAATTAGGAGATCTACAGTAACTGACAAAATACAACCTACTGGTTTAAATAACTTTAAAAAAAGAAACTAAATGCATATTGCAAGACAAGAGAATGGTTCTGTCTCTCTTTAGGAGCAAAACTATTAGGAGCAGGTACACCAGAGCTGCTCTTCTAATGGATAAAATGCAACCTCCACTTAAACAAAACAAAAACTGACTGATTGCACTGTATTAAAATCTTTATATAAAATAAAAAAAAAGTAGAAGACTTCAAGGAAATGAGAGGTGGTTATGGTCAAGATGAGATGTTATGGTCAACGGTGAAACACAAGAAATCTTTGCCATTAACAACAGTAATTAAACATTTCAGTTCTTCACTACAGTAGATTATGGAGGAACAAAATGCACAGGGAGAAAAATAATAGAAATATACTTTTTTTTTCAGAACTGACAACATATGCCATGAAAAAAGTTGTACTTAGTTAGCTATAAATCACAATATGTATTGAAACTGCATTATGTAGCTTAGACATATAATGCTATTCATTTTATAACATAACAGTTAAACTATTAAAAGCATGACTAAAAGTCTGCAGATCATTATAATATTTTCTTCATTAATTTTCTGCCTAAGCAGCTGAAAAGATTTTAACAGAAGTTTCTCATTTACATAAGACTTTTATTTAGTTCATCAGGTACTTTTCAAATTAAATTATTCTCTTTCTCTCTCTGTAAATTCACTTAGTTACATCTTTTCTGAATGATACTGTACTCCTCTTTTAAGACTCAGAACCTCTAAAGAACGAAATTTCTTTCATTTTAATTTGAAATGATATAGTTATGAAATTTGTTACTGTTTTTTCTAATACTGCCATTAAATTACATTCCTCAGGTCTGAAAAACTAAAGTTAAAAAATAATTCAAGGTACAGAATATAAGAACAAATCAAAAGCAGAATTAAAATTTCGTAAATATACTGAAAACATTCTTTATTTACAATCAATAAATAAACAGATGAAGAAAACGAACTATAACAAGTAACATAAGAACAGGTTACAAATGGCATTAATAAAAGACAAGAAACATTAAGTGAGAAGTTATTTTCCTTATCCATAATTTTAATCAAATTTAACTATTAAAACAGAAAAACACCATTGCAAATTTCTCATATTATGTACAATCAAAACAAAGTGACATATATATAGAACACAGATTTCGTATACTATATTAAAATGATAATAATAAAAGACAAGAAACATCAAATTTCACAAATTAAGGAGAAGTCTCTTCCCCGTACAGATTAAATCAAATTTAACCTAAAAGACTCCAATAAGTAAAAATAACTACAAAACAGATAAGCAAACTGCTCATTTAAACAGAAAAACAGAACTATAAATACACATATCAAACATTCCCTACATCTTTTAAGGCTGCAAAGGAGATAACTTCTTATTTAACTTATAGATAATCAAATAAAGATGTTATTGATATTATATACATTTGAATTACATGTACAAATTTGTTTGGTTCAGAACACATAACATCCAGAGTACGCTTTACATTTTTGCAGTCACAGCTGCTCCTTCTGTTTATCCTTTAAATAAAGATATAATTTTAAATGCAATCTTTAAAAGAAAGAAAGTAATCTATAACATACTGACTTGAAGTTACACTCTATGTGCATTCAATTTAAATTTTTCACCCCTTTCCCCCCAAAGTTTTAAAATGTACGAAGTATTCTGTAATTTGGGGGGGAGGGTAAGGGAGTGGGGTTAAGTCTCACATGTGGTGAAGCATAAAAAAATCCTTTTAAATACTATAAAATTAGAACATTGTTGAGTTTTAAATATTCTTTAAACGTCACACTTTTCCTCGCACATTTTATCAAAATATTTTTATGCATTCTGTTTGGTCAAGGACTAGGATTTCCCTTTTGTAAAGTATACAGTAAAGTTCTGCATAACATTTATAGCAAAATTTACTCTATTTGTTTATGTCTAAATGCATAAAGTAAATCCTAAAGTACTCATTATTACAGCCAATAATCCAGATTCATTTTGAACAAACAGATTAAATGAAAAAAAATATTTATTCTGAACAGTAATCACTCAAAATAAAAGTTGAAATCAAAATCGTAAAAACAACCTTGTATTTACGCTAATACACGTACTGCGCTAAATACAAGGTTGTTTTTACGATTTTGATTGTCACATTAGCGTGTTTCTTCTAGTCTAAAAGTTGAAATGCCTTAAAAAGTATCCACCATGCTCTTCCATCATATTTCACCCAATTCTTTTTTTTATTTTTAAGAATGAAGAAATTATGCTAAATCTACGCACAAGATATTAGGAATTAATCAAATGAAAAAATAGCCTGTTAATTACAGGAAAGCATTCAAAAACTTATTTGTTTCAGGAGGAAACTTATTTGTTTCTACATGTAAAAAGAAAACCAAGTAAGTCTCTTGCAGTCAATGCACCAAAAATAAAATCAAGGACGTAATTACCATTTTTACATGCCTTTAGCTATTTGGCCAAGGTAAGCCAGGAAGGAAAGATGAATTATTAACTTTCTGCATTTTAAACTCCACTGTTTCAATATAATAATGGAAAAAGATAAGATTTCTGAAAATCAATAACCTCAGAAGTTTGCTTTTCTAGTACTAAGAGCATCTAATATAAAATTCAACTAACATCTTCACTATATATATATATATATACTGAAAGGGAGGAAAATGAAGTATCCTTACTATCTTTTAAGAATAATGAAATACTACTACTACCTCAAGTGAAATAAAGAGAGAAGATATATATATATATATATTCTCTTAGTAAATCAAATGCTTCAAAATAAAAACTTATGCACTCGCAGAATTTTACACAACTAATGAATACTGATTTAATCAACATATCAAATGTCAGTACATAAACTGGTACAATGTACATAAACTGATGAACATATGCCCATTTTCCTCCAGTGCCATAGCATATTAACTTTATAACTGTTCTGGCCAGGGGCGGACTAAGGCCTAGGCAACCTAGGCACCTGCCTAGGGCTCGTAATTTTTGGGGCCCGAAAATTAGGTTTTTAATTTTTATTTAACAGAAAAACAAGATATTCATAATTATTGCTGAAACGTATCCAAATTAGGCAGAATCGTTGTTTGATAAAGTCGACAAGTGTGGATGAGCGTTCCCGTTCTTATGCATCCACGCCCGCGAGCGTCGATGTGTGTAAATACGATTTAGCCTCGTGCCTACCGAGAATTTACTATGCACGTGTTTAAAAAGTCAAACGTAGCTATTTAAAATCAGTGTCTCCTGAACGTATTGCATCTTATGTGCGTTGTGATTGAAAACTGTGCAATTAAGACTTAAGTACCTAGACTTGATTGCAAATAGATTGTTTTGGATTCATAGTTAATACTTTCTGGAATTCCTAAAATAAAAATATAAGTTTTTATAAAAGCATTATATTATTTAATTAAAATAATATAAAATACCACAAATTGTTACTTTGTTTGTGATTGTGATATTGAGTAAAAATAAATTTAATTGAAGATCATTTTCTTCTTTTTTTTTTAGTACGTGGTCTTCAAAATGAGCTCCTATAAACATTTACGTGGAAGTGAAAAAAGAAAACGAAAAGCAGATCGAGATAAAGTGGCAAAACAAATGAAAAGATCGTTCGACAAATTTTTAACTGTAGATGGAGAACAATTACAACAATCGTCATCATTTTCACAAATGTCACCTGCTCAAACTCCAGAAACATCATTTGTGTCCGAAACTATGCTGCAAAAAGACCAGCAGGAAACCAAGCAATTCCGTTTGTGAAGATTAAACAAAAGGAGAAAATAAAAATTTAAAATCATCTCAAAGTAATGATGGAACTAAGAGTTTTGTAAATGATATTGCATTACGGCCAGAATACTTAACAGACGCCATTCGAGGGTATTATATAAAAAATCCACCAAAATCAATAAATGGATTTTTGGAATCATCTTCTATTCGATGCAACGAAGGGTCAAAACAAATCACAAGAAAATTAACTATTGCCTCCTTCTTCAAAACAATTAACAGCGGAGAAAAAGTTAAAAGAGATTGATTGGATGGCTTATACTGAAACCAACAACTTATTGTACTGTTACGTCTGTAAATTATTTTTCAAGCAAACATTGCTAATGACAAAAGGGTCGAATGATTGGAAAAATGTACATAAAAAATTGTCAGAGCATGAAAACTCTAGTGACCACATTAACTTCATTTAAATTTTTATAACAAGATCTAAAATTACCGGACTCATTGACACTGAACTGGAAAAAAACGAATTATAAATGAAAAAAAAAAAAAAAAAAAAAAAAAAAATATTGGAGGGAAGTACTTAAACGTGTGGTAGACGACAATCAAATTTATTTCTTCATACTCTTTAGCGTTTCGTGGTAAAAATGAAATTTTTTTTAGTGAAAATAATGGTAATTATATAGGTGCTTTGGAATATTTATCCGTGTTCGATCCATTTTTGCGGGAACACATGAAAAAATATGCAAACTGCAGCACCGGTACTATAAACTATTTATCGTCTACAATATGTGATGAATTTATTTCTATTATATCGAAAGATCTACAACTGACAATAGTGAACGAAATAAAGGAAGCCAAATTTTACTCTCTAATTATTGATTCAACACCTGATATATCTCACGTAGATCAGATGACCGTCACTATTCGCTATGTTCTTCCAAGTGGTATAAAAGAAAGATTTTGGGGATTTCTACCAATAACTTGGAGAAAGTTATTTTACAATTTTTAAATAATATAGATTTAGACATCACAAACTGTCGGGGACAGAGTTATGATAATGCGTCTAATATGTCAGGTAAATATAAGGGACTCCAATCCAGAATAAAACAATATATTTTTTCTGCCCATTTTATACCATGCGCAAATCATTCATTAAATTTAATTGGAAACGCTGCTGCCGAAAGTTGCATGGAAATGACCATTTTTTTTTCAATATCGTTCAGGAATTGTGCGTATTTTTTTTCAAGTTCTAAACATAGGTGGAATGCATTATAAAAAATTTGTAAGAGTACACTTGAGTATTAAACCTATTTGTGACACTAGGTGGTCTGGTCGTTCCGATGCTGTGAAATCCTTAAAGGAAAATTATGAAGAAATTAATTTTTTTACGTCATTTTTCCTCAAACAAAGATGAAAACCATTAACAATGTCCGAAGCTGCCGATTTACATAAAAAACTTGATACATTTGAGTATGTACTGTTACTTACTTAAAAAAAAAAAAAAAAAAAAAAAAAAAAAAAAAGATTTTAAGAGAGAATAGATGCTTCAAACAAGACTCTTCAACAAAAAGACGAATCCATAAATACAGTAATTTTAATATACGACTCATTGATAGATTTCATACAAATTGTTAGATGATTTTGACAAATTAGAAAAAGAAGCAGAAAAAGTTAAAGATATTCCATACACTAATGATAAAAAACGGCAGAAAATATGAAAACTATTTCATAGTGAAATTCCAGAACATGAAATAAGATTCAGTGGCAAAGCACATTTTAAAGTTATTTTTTTTTGTATGCTATTCTTTAATTAGCAACATTAAAAAAAGATCTGAGGGATATAAAACTATTAACAATAAATTCAAAACAATTTTTCATGATAGTGATGTTAGTGACTCTTCAATAGAGGAATTAAAATGTTATGAACAAGATTTAAATCTAGCAGAACTGAAAAATGAAGTATTACAATTTAAGACTTTTATAAGTAAAGAAAATATTATTTCGCCTGCATCCATGTGGTCATTTATTCAGGAAAATAATATTATTGCAACATTTCCTAATTCAAACATAATTCTGAGAATTTATTTAACACGTCCAAATAAGCAATGCAAGCGGTGAAAAATCATTCTCAGTAATTACCATAATAAAAAATTTGTTAAGATCCACATTAGGCTAACAAAAATTAAGTAGTTTATTATTACTTTATATAGAAAGAGTTATTGAATAACCCTATTAATTATGACAAACTAATTGACGAGTTTGCAGAATTAAAAGTGAGAAAAAAGGGAATATAACTAATCAATTTGGGTATATTTGTTTGTTTTAATAATTATGTTTATGTTGTTTGGTTTTAATAAATTATACTTATTTAATTTTTGTACATGTATATTATTTTTTTCTTGGAATCCGATAATTAAATATAAATGCATACTATATGCTTTAAAACCAAATACCAAACGTAAAGTATGTGTCATGACTGAAAATAGGCCCGGAATTACAATGTTGCCTAGGGCCTGCTTTAGCCTTATTCTGCCACTGTTAATAGCATAGTAAACTCTGTATAACAGTTTATTAATTCATACATATTTTATTCAAATAACTTTATTTTCCATAATAATAAAATAAAAAACATATAATACCCACGGTAAGTATCTTTAATAAAGTACTAATGAAGTTCTATTTAAAATTACTTGATATTAACCCTGAATAATCTAACACCTATCTGCATTGCTTTTATTTTTATTAATGTTAGGTATATAGTGATTTAACTTCAACTATCAATTTATTCTGAGGAGATTCTCATTTTTTCAAGTGATTCAACAATGTGCTCAATTACACATTTTCTTACAGTTTAATCTACAATAGGATTCCAAAATTATCTTTCATATCTCAAAAACTTCTTCAGTTTAAATTTATTAAACATATTTTTTGCTCTATATTAGGTTATTCTGAAACTTATTTCTTAATTTAAAATGTCCTGTTTCCTTCGTGTAAATACATTTACTCTGAAATAAAATTTATCTCATGCACAAATTCGATAGTACAATTTCTAAGCTCATATTTTTAATAACAGCACATTCCTTATATTATTTTACTTCACACCTGCATGATTTTTACTTTTTTTTTTTTTTTTTTTTTGGCAAGCAATACAAAAGTTCGAGATCCAGACTGGTTTGGACTTTGGCGATTCAGAATTTCCAAAATTCCAGATAATCAGTTTAAATGAAGGAAGATAACCATGTACAAATAACAAAATACCAAATAATTGTTTATGAAACAATGAAGCGCTTATGACCTCACGGGAATCAAAATTTACCTAAAAAGCTCAATATTTGCTTATTTTATTAGACATTTCTTTCACTGTAGTTATTTAAATTGCTTTGTTTTTTCGGTTAATGCTTCTCCTTTCATTTGATAGACAGACATCAATTTTTTGTTCAGCAACAAAATTCCAATGTTCAAGTGCTGAAACCACTATGTCAAGAATTCCCACTAAACTATTTATCAAAACCTTTTAATTCTCAAAGACCTTCTTTAGTACTGCACACTTTACTATCGCTAGCTACTGAAAAAATACAATCATTTATCTTCGGTAAAACAAACTCTACCCATTTATATTTTATGTGGCAAGAAAAAATACTCTTCATAAGGGTAACAAAAACACAACTTTATTTACAAAAATACAGGTTTGTTAACAAGTTACCGTTTCACATACTGTTATCTTACGAGAAAAGAATAGAATATACTGTTGCCAATCTGCTGCAGCTAAGTACTAGCATCAAAAGGTATGGCTCGCCAATAGCCATCATTCTCCCGCTGTAAGTTAACTTAATTCAAAGAAGTTAACAACAGTTTTTAACATTAAAGTTTTTTTATTTTCTGGAAAAAAAGTTAACTTAATTCAAAGAAGTTAACAACAGTTTTTAACATTAAAGTTTTTTTATTTTCTGGAAAAAAAAAAAAAAAAAGATCTGAAAGGTTTCTGATTTTAAATTACGTCCAAAAGGGCGCTTTTTTAACATTTTGTGCGTTACCTTTATTTATTAAATATAACGTTTTTTGCAATTAAACCAAAAAATTGAGTTCAATGGCAATGTCATAATTTTAAAATGACCATATCTTTAAAATTTCCGATACACAATTCCGTGCGCTGGAGATAAAAAGGTCTTTTCCCCCCATAGAGTGTTGCCATTGCTCACTTTTACATCATTGAGTTTGTTAATTAAAAATTCGTTAAAGTGTTACAAAATATGAAATTTGTTATAAAACAAATTTAAAATTTGGGCTTTCAGATGCTCATATTCGCAGTAGGATTACGTTATTCAAAACTGGATGGCTCTAGGTACCGTTGTTTTATCACACTGCAAAAAACATACATACATTTATGCAGATTCTTCATTATTTAATTTCTTCAAATATAATACAGGGCGAGACTATTTGGTGGCAACGATTTGAAAAGTGATACAGCCTTTAAAACTTTTCACCGCAAAATCGCAAAACAAAAGCAACAGTTCTTCAGGGACAAGGCCCCTTTGGACAAAAAATTCCTTAAAGTATGTATTCTATACTATTACAATTCAAGATTCCTTAGAAATAATAATTTTATAAGTTCAATCTCTTAGGAGTTTCAATCTCATGACCACATGCAGATCGTTTTGGTAGAGTCTCACAAAGTTCTTTTACCTTTTCTCTCGCTTTCTGAATCTCAACACTTTTGGACTGAGCTAAGCGTTCTGTTATTTCAGCAGCATCTTGATGTCCAACAATTTCCCACAAATAGATAGATTCCTTGACTTGGTTGTAACAATATACCCAATGCTATCAACACATACAATTCTTACTTTATCATCATGACCTGGCTCTATCACTTTTGCAAGTGGCCAACTAAATGCTTTGTATTATTACTTCTGATTAATATGTCATCGGCAATTTTTTACTGAATTTCATCTTCAGCTGGTTTAAGTATTTACTATGAAATCTTTGTTGTAACTCTTCTCTCAACCTTAGTCCGAGATCCTGAGGTTCTACCAAGTCTAGATTAGGTTCTCCAACATCATTCAGGATCATATCAGGAGTCAATTTAATTGGAGGCAATTTATAATAATTTAATGTAAGTTTCAGTTCAAGCACTGACAATTCCTTCACAGTTATACAGAATTGCTAGTAGTTCTTCAAAATCCAACAATACTTTCCCAAGAACTTTTAAAGCAATTGTTAAAGAACATCCATCATTCCCTCCCACTATCTGACCCACCACTGTACAGACGCAGGAATGATTTTCCAGCAGATTTTCTTTACAGCAATATAAACTTAAATTTACTTCGAATTAACCTTTAACTGTTGCGACAATTTTTTTGGCATAATTACTACGAGCGGTCTCACAGATCGCTTTAAAGAAACGGGTAAACTTACATACTTTTATGCCATTTTAAGGAATGTTATAGATACTTTATGTATATTTGTGAAATTTTAATTTATTTAAATCACTATATTTTAAACATAAATCATTTAATTTTCCGAAGTTAAATTCATATAAAAATGACTATTTTCTTCCTTTTAAGAAACAAAGATTTTATTAAACATGCATGAAAATATGTGACTTTACTAAGTATTACAGTCAATTAAACCATAATTCTACAACAATGAATTTAATTATTAATAAATAATAGATTAGTATACCTTTGTTTAAAAGGATGAATCATAAGACGATATACAGTCAAAACACATTTTTTTAAGAGCACTGAAGACACATTGGTTCCTTGTATTCCAAGCATTTGTATGCTGTTTTTCTCTTCTTACAAGGTGGGCAAAGACTACATATTTTTTTTTTTTTTTTGTCTAATTTTTCTTTTTGATTTGATAAATTCATTCTCTTTTATTTCCTTCTGTCCAAGCATTCTTCTAATTGCTATCTTCAGTTCTCTTGGGAGAAAAGCGGAAGTTATCACAGTTTAGTAAGTTGCTTAGCTAATAAAAGCACAAAATTTTTCTTTTCAGTATTGTAGCAACAGAATATGACTGCAAAAATATGTATGAACATAAATTCCAAGTATCTTCGGGCTCTGCTCTAGAGCCTATTTTTGCAGGATGTTTCTGACCAGGGAGCTGAATTATTATGCTTATGCTTTGGTGTTATTACTGCCCGATTCGATTCTTTTTGCTTCAATTCAAGTGCTTTTTTCCATAAAAATTATCATTTCGTTCACAGACATTAGAAAAAATTATGATATTCATCTACAGAAAGCTTAGATACACTTTTGCTTCCGCTGTGAATACTACATGATTCTTCACAATCAGAGTATTCTACATCAAAAATATTGTTGACAAGATATTCAGATATGAGATATATGAGATATATAGGACATTTTCTTGTAAAGTTTGAAGGCATATTTATCACTTTTAAGAAAAACAAGCATCCGATAAATAACGTCTATTGTTCACTAAAACTGGTATGCATCTGCTGTGAGCGGTTTCCCAGACAACTTAAAAAGTAAAAAACGTGATAACCGAAACCACAATAAAGCTAGATGTGTGAAACTGGATATGTGACCTTGTGGGACGGGGTTGGGAAGGTAGGAGGAAGGACAGGGGTCATTCTCCGTTTTTAGGGGTGGAAATGACAGTCAGCAAATACTCAACAGCACTTACTGTTTCAGTTAACATTATTTAAAGCACTAGCTGCTCCAACA